GTTTTTAAATGGTTTATTCTTTTTCATTACTTTAGATATATACTGACTGACATAACTTCATTTTTATTAACAATGTCGTGCATTATAGTCTGCATTCTTTGTACATTTAAAATAATTGATGCTAATAAATGTTGTTTTATAGTTGTTAAAAGTTTGCATATATGTTTGCATGTATATTATGATCTAAGTTAATATTTTTTTGATAAATACGTGTATGTGGTGATATATGTTATAGTTGTTTTATAAATGTGTTTTTATAATAGTATGAAATGTATTATATCTAATTTCTGCAAGATGGTTAAATGGGGTGTTTTTATATGCTAAGTAACATTAAAAAAATATATTGTTTTATAATTAGTATATATGTTTATATAATGTTGTTTCCATGATTTCAAAGTGAAGTGACTTGGCAAACGTGTAGAGCAAGATTTATCAACCTTACCAGTCAAGCGATGTTACTGCTTTAGGTCTAAGTGTTGCCTAGCCTTTAATATAACTATTGTGAAAACAGATTGCTTTATCTTTAGTAATTTTTTGCGTAATGTTGTTACCTTTGGTTTATCTTAACGTTGGTGTCAGCTGTTAAAAATGATTAATAAGTAGTTTCATTATTAGAACTCACTGCTTTTATTTATTTACTGAAATTCATTTCGCTATAAATACAATTTGTTTATCATAAAAAAATAATATTTAGCAACTACTACTCAGGTATCACCACAGCTTATCTCTATCAGGTACATTAATTTTCAATTCACATATGTTTTTCTTTGTTACATTTTTAACTTCAGATTTATGGTGTATTTATTTGCTATAGAAGAACAAATCATTTTGAATTTTTAAAAAAAATCTACTCCAATCAACATTTAAAGTTCATTGTTGCATATATCATTTTTAAGTAGCTTCTAGGCTTTTGTGATGCTTTTCTTATTCAAGTGGTTTTATAAGCAAGGTCTACATGCAAATTTGAGATAAAAAGTTTTTCAGCTTTCAAGAAGTATCAATGTTGTTCTCTGTTTAATTTAATTTGTTTAAATAGAGTAGTTTTTGTAAATAAATGTTTGTTTGTTCTTGGTTTTTTACTTATTTGTTTTCAGATTCTAGAACTAGGCAACTTAGCAAAGCAAGATTTATTTTATTTTTTAGTGCAATTGGAAAGAGCTAAAGTGCTTTTTAGTCACTTCAAATCATTTGTTTCTTTTTTTAAATAGAAGGGTTAATAATAAAAATATTTAGACAGTCGAACTGTTACTGATTTGAGTAAGTTTAATGTTTTGTTTAATTTTATATTTTAATGATACTGTGCATTGCCAACTTCTTTTTATATTTATGTATTTAACACGGAAAACTGACTAATTTTTGACAGGTTAGTTTATATACATAAATGTGCCTATATATCAAAATATTTTATATTTCTCTGAATCTATATGAATATTATCTCAAAGAAAAAATTAAGAATAGAAAAAATTTGAATATATATACATACATATATAATTACTTTAGACTGACATTGCTTATTATATTATATTATGATATGATTCTGCATTTATTATTTTTGTGCATTAAGATTGTGCCTGAAGGCTTTCTTAATTTAGCAAAGAATTTAGAACACAATGCAAATAACTTTGCATTGTGTTCTAAATTCTTTGCTAAATTAAAATAATGTCAATAAATTTTTTTTATATTTTTCAGTTGTAAAAATATAAAACGTTCATTTATTCAGTTGTAACAGTAGTATAATCACTGGTAATATATATTTAATGATAACAGATGTATAATATTAGGCTCGAAGAAATTATTAGAGTAAATGGTTATAGGTGACTTGAAATTGTTGTCATATGAAAGAAATAGATCTAGGCGTAATAAAATTAATTGTCGTTGAAATATAAGAAATTTTGCTTGATGAATCGAAAACTTACTTGACAGAATTCAGTGTCAAGCAGTGTTGATGTCTATTATTTGACTTTACATTGGACACTTTAAAATAAAGCAAAGTATGAATTTTACTATTATTTTATTATTTTTATAGTAACAAATAATAACAGCTTCAATTTTAAATGATTTTTTTTTTTTTTTTTTTTTTTTGTTATCTTAAACATAATTGTGTTCATTTTTTTTTAGTTGTCTTTGTCATCACTTGATTATTTTGCTTACTGTTGAAACATGGTTTTAATTTTGTAAATTTAATATGATGTGAAATTTACAATATTAATCATTTGTCAACAGTTAGAGAGAAGCTGGAACTTAATCAAGAAATGCTGGAAATTAATTTTTAGTCAAGGTAAAAATAATTTTTTTTATTGGTAGCATAATAAAACTAGTTACTGTTATTTATTGCATGACTTTTTTACTTTTTCTAACATGGTGTTTTTAAAACACTCCCTCTCTCTCTTAGATGAGACTTAAATAAGAATTAGTATTGAGAATTGTAGAGAGAGAATTGATTAAACTCTGTAACTACTAAGCTCTAGCGTATTTTTTAATACTGCAATTGATAATTTGCTATTTAAAGATATAATTCTTTAAATTGTCCCTTGGTTGTTCAAATATTGTAATAAATAAAATCTTTTTAGTTTCAAGTATTTTCTCTTAGGGATCGTCTATATATTACGTAACACGAAATTAAACATAGACAAAAGAAATATCTCAAAAACCGTGTTTCTCTCATGGTTAACTATATGCTGCATTTTCAAGAACTATAGCATTTAATAGTTTGTTTTTCAAAATTGATAAACATCTTATTCAAGGTATAGTAGGTAAAAAAATGTATCATAAATATTGTTATATTTTTTAAAGTTCTTAATTTAGTCTTTAGATTTTCATTTCGAAAATTTACTGTTAAAGGTTGTGAGCACATTTTGTATGTATATCTTTATTTATCATTACTTATTTTTTTTTCATAGTTTTTGGTAAATATATCTATCATTCAATAGTTGTAAAATGTGTTTATACGTGTTACATAAAGTCATATTTGTTTATAGTTATATATATGTTTAAATTATAAAAGCCAAAACAACAATTTATATCTTAGTTTGATTTTTTTTTTTAGTATTGCTTAGGTACTTTTAGTATTGCTTTGGAACTTCGAAACAGGTTTTATAGTTACATTTTCGATAAATCTTTAACTGCAACTTCAAAATAGGTTACTATAAATGGGTAAATCGATTTTTGGTAATTGTGTGGTGGTTTTTGTTTTTTTGTTTTCTTTGTAATTATGATATCATAATTTCATTACTTTTTTATTTTAGAATTACGTTATGACGCATTTATAAGATTTATAAAATAAAATAACCTGATTTCTTTTTATTGTAAATTTTTGTTAGTTAAAAAGATATAAATATATGCTATTAGTTAATTTTATATTTTATCTATTTTATGCCTAATAATTTGTTGTACGTATTTTAAGGGGATCTTTGTAAATGGGAGTTCGTAACTAAAAACCTTTAAAAACATGGAGATTATTGTAGTTTTGCGCATTTAATATCGAGTTACTTAAGTTTTTTTTATGTGTTTAACTAATTAGTTAGCTTAGTCTGTATTTGCAACACTTTTGAGGAAAGAAATAAAACATTTTTATATATGTAGATCATTGTTTTACATTTTATTATTTTATTCACCTGGCCACCATTAAAGCAAAAAGAGGGAAGGAACCTCTTTATTAGAGTCAAAATATTTAGGAAAATTAAATTTCGAGTAACAATAGGAATTATGACCTATGCCATTTGTAAATTACTTAAATAATGTTAAGTATTAATTGTTTAGTAGTAATTGGTAAATTATTTTACCTCCTCATACTTTTTATGTTAATTTTACAGATGGATTAATTTTTTCAAGCTGAAGGCGATTTTCTAAAAGGGTATTAGTTAAGGTTTTGCAACATTAAATTTTGCAAAAACAGCCACTATAAATTAATTATGTAGCAGACCGACCAAAACCCGTATTACGGGTTGCTTTTTGCTAGTTTTATATGAATTATACAAGGATATAAACAAATGCTTTTTTTTATATAAATAGAAAGAAATAATTTATAAAATAATATAAAATTTTAATTACTTATATAAGCATGTATTTTGTCGATTCATATAAAAGTTTTGAAATATTTTGTAATGTTTTCATCTCACTATTTTTTTTAATCTTTTAAATAAAGAATAAAAAAAAAATTTTTTGCAGCATTTTGGAAAAAATATAAATATTTTACAATTTAAAAATGTTATATATATATACTTTTTAATAATTTAAACAAAAATTTGTTTATTTCAAATTAAAAATTTGTTCATTTATAATTTGTTCATTTCAAACAATCATTAGAAGTAATTTTACTTAATGTAAAAACTTCTTGCATAACTTTTAATAAAATTTTTCAAAAGATAAGATTGAACGCAATTAAAAACGTAACAATTTTGAGTAAAAAAAAGTTTGAGTTTGAGTATTTTGAGTTTTATTTTAGTGCTTTTCTATTTTGTAAGAAATTGTTTTCCTTTTTCTTTAATTTCTCTTCTTTTTTAATTCTTTTCCTAGTTTAAGTTTAGCATTACTGTTTCTTTTTTCTGTGCATTTTTGAAATGTTTAAATCAAAACATTTAAACGGTTGTGCTCAATTAGTCAAAAAAAAAATCATTTGCACGGTCAGCAATAGTGTCTGATCACACACCATTTCTGTCCAAGTCTGTGTTATATGTTTTTGTTATGTGTATTATGTTAGAAAAAGAATTTATAGACTTACAACAAATTATAGTTAACATATTTCAATTATATGAATATATTTAATTTAGTCAATGTAGAAAACTTGCAAAGCAAATAGGCTATGTAATGGAAATTTTTATATCAAAAAAAATTATATCTCAAAAAACAGTTGTTATTTGAATTCTTGTTTTTATTTAAACAAACTTGTATTTTAAAAAATAAATTAAATTAAAGGCTTATCTTAGGCGATGCAACTTATATTAACTAATAAATAATAACTTTTAAAAAAATGTTTATAATACAAAAAATATAACAATCACCATATCTTTTTCTTTTGTGTTATTTATAAGATTATTTAGTTTTTCTTTACCATCATTGTTATTACCAATGCTTTCAGCTGGGCTATAAACACTTTTGTTTTCTGATGGATTTGATACTAAATGGTTACTTCTTTCATGAGTCTTATTCTCAGCTAGATCCTAAAAAATCACATTTAAATAAATAAGAACATAAAACTTTTAAAAGGTGTATTTCTTGCTTTTTGTATTTATTTTAAAACTGAAAAAAAACCATAATGTACTGCCAAAAACATACTTTTATAAATTATAACAAAATTCATTACAACGATAAATGATTTAAGTATTTACTAAATTTGAAATTTAATTAATATCAAAAGAAGATAAGTTCATAGACATCAGCATGATGTCTGCAAATGCACCATAAAATGATATGCTCCTTGAATGTTTACTATGCACAGGCCTAATATTAATTCAATTCATATATTTAAGGTTTTTTAAGCCAAAGCTTGTAATTTTTTTAGCTGAAGTAATCGCATTGTTAAGACTTGAGTTCGCAAATTTTAAAAGTTCCAAACTTCACAATTAATTCTTTATTATAACTACAAAGTTTTTTGTAATTATTAAATCTATTTTAAATACATATTTATTTAAAAAATAAGGATAAAACTATTACTAGAAACTTACAAAACATTTTGTTTAACGCATGTATAACAGTGAAAAAAAACTATACATATAAAGCTCTTATCTATAAATCTCAAATCCGGCCTTTTATAGAATACTGTTACCATATCTGGGGGCGGATCGTCTAATGATGCTTTTTCTCTTTAAGACAAGGTGCAAAAACGTATTGTAAACATAATTGGACCTGCTCTTGCAGCCAACTTTCAACCATTATCACATCGTCGTAATGTTGGTTCTCTTTTTCTTTTCTACAAATACTATAATGGGCACTGCTCTAAAGAGCTAGCATCTCCTGTGCCATCTACTAAAATTCATTCTCGTGTTACTTGTCATTCAATTAGTCTCATCCTTTGCCTGTTACTGTTTCTAAGTGCTCCAAAAACACTTATTCCTCTAGTTTTTTTCCTCGAACATCAGTTCTTTGGAATTTGCTTCCTTCACCTTGTTTTCCTGATTCATATAATTTGCAATCTTTTAAGTCGTCTGTCAATTGTTATCTTGCTCTACAATCTTCATTTTTTCTCTTCCAGTAACTTCCAACTCTAATTAGTGGTTGCTTGTAGCCTTGTTGGAAGCGCAGATGTTTAAAAAAAAGCAATAAATATAGATATATATTTAGTAAACATATATCAGCGCGGAAAATAACTGCCAGTCAAGGGTCAGCAACTGCTCAAAATGATTTAAATTGCTACTTTGACTTCTTAAAATGAATGGTCAACTGTTTGAAAAAATTCAGAGTTTCAAAAAACAAGGTTTAATAAAAATTAATTATGTAATTTTATAAAATGCTATAGTAAAATTTAATAAAATCAATTAAATTTTGAAATAGCGTTTAAAATAGTTTTATTATTTACAATATCTTTGTAATAGTTCTTCATGACTGAACTTTATAAATACAAAAATAACTTAATATTTGATAATTAACGAATTAGTATTCCTTTTTTAAACTTGCAAGTAACTAACATTAAAATTACACGCTAATGTTAATAGTTAAAAATTAAGCGCGCAGATTTTCATTTTATTTCTTAAATGAAGTTTGATAAACTTTTTCAAAATTTTAATGATTATATGATAATTTAATACATACTTTTTTTAAATAATAATCTGATTATTTTTCAAATCTTGTTTTTTAAAACTCTAATTTTTTTTTAACCAAGAATTCATTTTTAGAGGTCAAAATAGCATTTTGGGCAGTCATTGACCATTGACCAGCCGTTATTTTACACGCTGATATAACCAACAACATTTTTTCTTGTAACTGTACTTAGTCATTTTGTTTTTTATTCCTTTAAATCTTTTTATTTATTTTCTCGTAAGTTTTACCTGCAAATTGAAATAACCAAATGAAATTAATATCTAAACTTTTCTCATCTTATTAAAAATCTGTATAATATAATCTGTATAATCTATTCATTAAATTGCAAAAAAACTCATAAAAAAAAAAATCAAATATTTTTAAAACTTTAAGATAGAAGTTCTTATTTTATTATTACTTGAAATTGTGGTAACTAAGAACATTTTTTCTTTTAAATACACTTTTTTTTTGTTTTCAATCTTTCAATCATTCAATCTTTTTAATTTTCTCATAAGTTTTCCAGCCATTTGCAAAGACATTGCTATAAACAAATTATTTTTAATTAAATAAATTTAAATTTTTAAGTGCACATTTACAAATTTAAAAAATGCATTTATTTTATTTAAAACAAACAAAAAAAACATAAAAAATCAAATCTGTAGCCAATTAATTGCGAACAAGGTACTGATATCATTTTTATGTTTTTATTTACATCCTGCTGATGAGCAGTTGACTCTCCAAAATATATCAAAATTACATCTGTGGGCAATCAAATGAAAAGATTGGGTTAATTCTATTGATAGTGTGTTATCTTAATACAATAGAATAAAATTTCTTACAAACTAAAGAATAGATTTTTTTTTTTTTTTTTTTTTTTTTTTTTTTTTTAACACAAGTCTAACTTGTAAGACTTTCTCAAAGTTATAAATAAGGACAAAAAACACAACTGTTTTTTTGTCCTTATTTTTATTTATATGTTTTCACCTGTATCCCAATTGTTTGGGATACATGTGAAAGTCAATTGAATAGGTTCAGTACATACATCAAATGTTAAGAAATGAGAGATATATGCATGTGTTATTTATTATTAATAAAAATCATATTAATAGGCTTGGACAGGAATGGCGTATGATCGAGCGCTATTGCTGACCACGCAAATGATTTTATTTTTTGACAACTTGACCACGATTGTTTAATAATGTTTATATGTTTTGATGAGCTAAAAATTTCAGAAATGTTCTGAATGTAGAAACGCTAAGTTAAACTTAAACTAGGAAAAAAATTTAAAAAAAAACTAACGAAAAAAAAATTCCTAACAAAAAAAAAAACGAAAAACAAATTCATAACGAAAAAGAAATTATATAAGCACTAAAATGAAAATAAAAACTTAAACTCAAAGCAAAACTTTTTGTTATGTTTTTAACTACGTATGAAATAAACATTATTAAAGCTTATCTTTTTAAGCGTTATTAAAGTTAAGCAAAACGTTTTTAAATTAAGTAACAAATTACTACTAATGATTGGTTTAATAAAAGAACAAATCTTATTAAATTTATTAAAAAGTGTTTTATATAATATTTTTAAATTGTATAAAAATTTATTTTGTCAAAAAAGTTGCAAAAAAAAAATTGTTTAAAAAAATAATGTGGTCTTTTTAAAATAGTAATTTTTACTAATTTCATGCTCTAATTAGTGTCTAACTAAAAAAAAGGTTTTGAACTTTTTTATTCGTAAAAATAAAAAAAAATAAATAAATAAAATGCGCCTGCAATTTAATAAACTGCCAACAAGCTTTTTAATTTAATTTTAATTTGAGCATTACAACTTTATTAATAAGCGCTTCGCGTAACGAATTTAAGAAATATAAAAGATTTAATTTCATTCATTTCTAACGAAATTGAAAAAAAAAAAAAAAAAAATTTACAAAAAATAAAATGTTTAATTTAAAAACATTTTTAAAAATCGTAAGTTTAATCATAAAAATTAATCGTATGAACATTACAAAATGCTTTAAAACTTTTTCATTAAATCAACAAAATACATGCTTATATAAGTAAATAAAGTTATTTTATATTCTTGTGTAATTCACATAAAATGTGTAAAAGTTAGTAGTCACAAAAGCTTTTGAACTTATTCACAAATTAAAGTAACTTAAAAAAATTCTTTTTAAAAACAATGGTTTAAAAATGTCTTAGGAAGACATAAGAAAATAGTTTCAAACGTTTATATTGATCATAAAAAACAAATGCCTACATAAAAAAAACTTATTTATAACGTTTTTATTAATTTACACAAGCGTTTATGTAAACTATAACTAATTTTAATGCTTTTATTTAAAGCCTTTGCGTAAAATAAAAAACTTTAAAAAATATCAACGATTAAAAGATATTTATAACGTAACACTTTTTTTATTGCATTCAAATTGTTAAAACATCAAAAAAGCCATGGTCAAGTTGTAAAGAAATAAAAATATTAGCGTGGTCAGTTACAGAGCGCGATTGCACGCCATTCCTGTCCAAGCCTGTATTAATAAATTTATACAAATTCTTACCATTTAAATTACCTGTACACACATATTACAATCAATAACTGTATCAAAAATATATTTATATATCTACCTCTGTTTTTTCTGAATTTTCATTTGATTTGCTATCAATTTTGTTGTAAGACGATTCCTCCAACAAACTTACAGGAATTGCTTCTACAGTTTTAATACCTTCATAATTATAAGTTTTAGGATGTGTTATACAAAATAGATCTTCATTTTCAACTGCTTTAGAACCTGTAACATTACTATGAGAAACTCCATCTTTATTTTCATTAAATTGATTTTCTATACTATGGTTCTAAAAAAATGCATTAATAACAAAAATAATTAAAAAAAGTATACAACATAAATTTACAGTATTAATGAGATCACTGTTTAATATTGAATAGTATATTAACATTTCAGTGTATAAATAAGTGTTAAATTTAGTGTATGTTGAGTACTAAAATGTTCATACTTCACAGCATTCAAAAATTTTCTATTTAACTATGGAATTAAAATCAGCTACTTTTAACTTCCATACCTCTTTTGAAAGCTTAGCTACATTTTATATTTACGGCTGTTAAAAGATTTAATATGGTTAGCATACAAAACATGAAAGTTCAACTTATGCAAATGTAGAATTTTCCATTAGGAAAGGTATTAGGGAGGTGACAGTCACTTGATATATTATGTTGTTTGTCATACACTTGATAAATAGTTAACATAAATTTTTATTAAAATATTTAAGATAAGTAGTGATATTGATGTTTAAATGTATTTGAGTGAAATTATAATGACATGCAACTGTGGCCAACTTATACAGTATTCCTGAGTAAACTTATATGTTATTTTACAGTAAGTATTTGTTAACTAAATCGATTTCTTTTCTAATAATTAAAGCTAGAAGTTTTAACGAAGATCAAATGTGAAAAAACTTTGTTTTAATATTAAAAAGTTTAACTAAAACATTAACATCTGCAATTGGTAGTATATATATATATATATATATATATATATATATATATATATATATATATATATATATATATATATATATATATATATGTATATATATATATATATATATATATATATTATTTATATATTATTTATAATATATATATATATATATATATATATATATATATATATATATATATATATATATATATATATATATATATATATATAATATATATATATATATATATATATATATATATATATATATATATATTAGTGTTGTTACAACTTTGAAATAACTTGACTGTCAAATAAATCAATTAAAGTGTTTTTTAAAGTCAACTAAAATCGACTAATATTTTGTAGAAATCAAGTCGAGTAAAAATCAATTTAGTCAAAATATTTGAATTTTTTTTTAAATTATAATATTTAAACGTTGCTCTGCAATTTATTTCTTAGATGAAATAAATATAACTTTAAGAGACTAAAATTAGGTGGTATTATTCTATTTGATTAATTAAAATCGAGAATAAACAAACAAAACAGAAATTACAATAGAAAAAAATAAGATGACCATTTTATGTCTTGGTTTAACTAGACACAATGCTCGGCCAAACCTGGTTTAAGTTCATTTCGCTGTTCTGTAATGATTTCGGCAGCAGTTGAAAATAACTCTTCAGAAGGCGCTGATGAAGCAGTTATAAAAAAGAGCATCTTCGCTATCTTTGACAAAACGGGAAATTGGCATAAACTATTTTTATAAAATGCAAGGGGATATGAATTTTCTAATACTTTTATATTCATATTTAAATGATTGATGATTTTGTTCTCTACTGATAACAAATCTTCTGATGACACTGTTTCATCGCATAACAATATTTTTCTTTTTTTTTGATGGACTTCTTTGACTAGTTGACGACTCTTGGCTAGACGCCAAGAAAGGCTTCTTGGTGTTAGCTACAATTTATGGCTCAATTGAACAACTAAAGAATGAGCTTTTTTAATACAAGAAATTTTTGCTTTGTTCGATATAAATTTAAAATTACGAAATTGCAGATCTAAATATGTAGCTGCGTACAACTGCTTAATTTTAAGAAAATCTTCACATCTTCTATTAAAATTATCTTTGAATTTGATGGCAAGATTCATAATTGTACAATTATTTGATTCACTTTTGAAGTTAGCAAAGTAATCAGTTAATTTATAAACGGCTGGTAATATAATTGAACAAGTGGCATATTTTGATCTGCTTAAAATATTTGTAAAATCATGTATTGGCTCTAATAAATCAATTCGCTCGCCAATGATTTCCAGTTCCCAGCTTTTTAATAACAAATCTTTATTATCTTTGTTCTCTGGCTTGATAATAACATCTTTGATCGATTCGCTAAGTTTAAAAACTGACTGCAACATTAAAAAGGTCGAATTCCACCAAGTAGCAACGTCTTGATTTAATTTGTTAATTGAACATTTATCTTCTTGATTGTCAATTTTCATATTATTTAACTCAACACAATTTACAAGCTGAGCAGAAAGTTTATTACTATGTTTGAATAAGCCAACAAGTTTCCTACATTTCTTTAAAACTATGAAAACGCAATGATTTTCATCAGATGATAGCGATAAAGCGCCGAGCGATGTGAATTTTACGCCGTCCAAAAGCGATTTTGCGAGTAGCTAAGGCTATTTGCGTCGAGCAAAAAATTTTTTGTTTGAGTATATTTAAAGATATTTTTGAGCGGAATTTTAATGAAGTTATTTATGATTATTTTAACATTTAATAAAATATTTTAAAAACCGCATGCAGTTGAGATAAAAGTTTGAATTACAAAAAAAATTAAATATGCTCATTATTTACAAGTAGAAAAAATTCAGATTAAAAAAAGTTTAAATCTTTTAAGATAACATTTTAATAAAATTATTCAGCAATAGCAAAGTTGTCGATAAAATTGAACAAAAATACTTTCTTTTAGTTTTAGATTTTAAACTTAAATAATTATTTTACGGGGGTTTGTTAGGTTTTAAAATTATTCCATAGATTTAAAAATATTTATTAACTGTTAGACATATTTAAAGTATTTAAGAGTAATTTCGAGGAAACATTTTAAAAATTGGTGAGTGCAAATAAATTTAAAAAAAAAGGATTAATATTAAAACGTATTCGGCTTGATTCAATAAAAAAGTACAGTTATTAAAATTTTTGTAAAAAGTAACTCAAAAAAATAACTTAAATAATAACGATCACTTTTATGTTAAAAGTTACCGAAACTCAACGAAGTGTGCTCAAGAAGAGCTGCTGAAAAATAAAACGTCAATAGTTTTTCGAATAATTTTAATAATAATTTTTAAGAATAATTTTTTTGCTGAAATATTTCTTTTATACCAATAAGATTTTTATTCTAACATTTTATTTTATTTTACTAGAAAG